TACAATCAAACTTGTAAAAAAACAGGCATTGTACTAGGTGTCATACAAGTAGCAATTCAGCCATGTTTTCCGCAATCAAGCAACCGCGTGAGCTTATCCGAGGAGGCAAGCAGGAGCCGACATAACAGTTGGCTCGACACCCAGAATGCTGTCAGCATGGCGCCGCCATTGGGTGCGAGGAGAGCCCACAAGAAGGCGGGCTTGCTGGCCGCCGCCGCTGAGGACGCCGAGAATATAAAGTTCAGAACTTCAGTAATGAAGCAAACGGAGCTTGTGAAATTCAAATATGCTGCCTGCAACTCAAAGTTAAAACTAACTTTGAATTTGTAGGTCAGTAGAGCCGAGTACAGCAGAGCCACTTGTCTAGTTGGCGCGACAAAATTAAGTTCGGTAGTCAAGCAGAACTATGAGCTGCTTGCTGGAATCCGTTTGGGCTAGGCTAAAATTCATGGGAGTTCACTAATTAGACCAAACGGTTTATAGTTTCCCCAAAATGCCTCGTGGCATTCATCACAATAAAAATCCACCGTGGCATGTCCTCAAATTGTCTTCCCATGATCAAAAAGTCAATTCATCAGCGAAAATACATATCCTAGACCACATTGCTCACCCCCAACTATTACTGCTCATACTCCACAGTGCATGGTCTACGCGTGGCAGGCAATCAACTCTGATCAATAAATTCCACAAATCTTGAAGTAGAAGAATCTATTTACTCGACATGCAAATCGATTCAAAAAAATTCTTGTTTTTTAGGGTGCCAAAAAATTGAAGTACCACTTATGCTGCCATAAATTGGGAATTTTAGTGTCACTCCTGTGCGGCCACGATCACCACTCTCAGGAGCCCAGGTCATGTCATCCCTCCTTCCATCGTTATTGCAGTGGAAAGCCCGTGCAACGCAGGCTGGGCAAGGACATTCTTTGGCACGTCCACGTTGGACATGTCGAGCTCCATGGCGTTCACCTGCATTGAGCAGGAGGCATGTCAGCGCCGAGAAAGAAGTTCACATAACCCCTGGGTACATAAACCGGCAATTTTACCCCCTGAGGTCTAAAATGTGGTATTTAACCACGATCTTTCCAAAACCATGTGAATCACAACCTAACCCTGATTATAGTGGTTTTGGCAAGTGGTTTTGCTGATGTGGCATTGTGCACCTCGTTTCGAACCTCCACCCAGCTGCATCCAGCCTCCTTCCTCACTGGGTCTCGACCATCCTCCGCTGCACCACACTGAAATGACAAGGGCACCTACCTTGGTTCATTGGTAGTGGTTTTCGAAGGGGTGATGACTACGGCGACCCTAGAGGCTTATGCTTGCCAGGAAGCGCTCGTTTTGGGAGAAGATCTTATGCGGGACAAGCTATGCATGGCAACTGACTGCCTGAGAGTCATTAACGATGTTCAAGCACCTAAACAGTCATGGGACACTGCATAATTCTGAAGGATATCTTAGCTCTCATGAATAGTTTTTTGGCTTCTAATTTTGGCCATGAACGACGCACTTGTAATAAGGAGGCTCATAACGAAAGTGTTGTTCTGATCCCGAGCTCATGTGAGGTCGGGTGAACAGTAAAATAAAAAAAGGAAAAATTCTAAAAGTCCTGAATATTTTTTTGTGGCAAACATAGATAAATGTTTTCATTGCTTGCAAAGCTTCATCATGAAATGGCATTCGTGGGAGATGTTGCAAAAAAAAATTTGATGCTCGAAAATGCTTTTGAAAATAACCTTTTAGAGCATCAATTGTGTTTTCTTGCCACAATGTCATCCGATGATGAAACTTTGCAAGTAGTCAAAACATTTATCTGACTTTATTTTTCTATTTTATGTGATTTAATTGTTCTTCCGAGTTTACATGCGCTCGGGATCAGAACAGCCTCGTCCGGCTCATAGGCTAGCTCGAGTGGCTACTACTCTGGAAGTTGGTCGTCATGTTGGCTGGTTAACGCACCAAACAATCTTTGTATGCTCCTAAACAGGTGGTGTTCGCCTTTCACCTAAAAAAAATGTTAAGCCCATTCTTATAAATTTGTGGTCGTTTTGTAGAATATTGTGTTGTAAAAAGGAGAGGAAAAACACATGCAAAATTTGTTTGGGTTGGTGTTTTGGCCTTTTCAAGGAAAAAATAGGAGAACAAAAAGGGGTGAAGCGTGGTCGGCAGGATTCGAACCTGCGCGGGCAAAGCCCACATGATTTCTAGTCATGCCCGATAACCACTCCGGCACGACCACTGTTTGATGTCTAAATTTCTCTCAGTCTACTTATCTTGTTCAGTCAGCTTGGAATACAGAACCAGTTGGAATCAGAACGCTAGGAAAAAAAGGGCATGAAGTGTGTTCCGTGTCAGACAAGTAGCAGTTCCGCCATGTTCACCGCGATCAAGCAACCACACATGAGGTTACCTGAGGAGTGAGGAGGCCGAGCAGGAGCCGCCAGAGCAGCTGGCTCGACGCCGCTGGGAATGCCGTCCGTCAGCATCGCGCCGCCCCTGAGTGCTGATCTTGGCTTGAGGTCAGAGCCCTGCATTGCTGCAACTCCCAGCCTAGCTAGCGAGCAACACGCATGAACCCGAGAAAGTATCAAGTACAGAACTTGAGATGTGAAGTAAATGGAACTTGAGAAATTCAGAGATGTCGCCTGCAACTAAGAGTAGAAACTAATTCTGAATTTATAGGTTCAGTAGAGCTAGCCGAGTACTACAACAGATCTACTTGTGCTTTACTGGGATGGCAACATAATGAGAACATGTCGAATTTGAACGACGACAAAATTAAGTTCGGTGGTCAAACTGCACTACGATTATGAGCTGCTTGCTAAAATCCATTTGGCCTAGTTCACCACAGCTACTACTGCTCGTACTCCACTGCAAACACCCCACAATAAATCAAGTACGTGGGGCAATCAACTCTGATCAGTAAACTCCACAAGTCTTGAACTAGAAGAAATCTAATCACTCGGCATCCAAAGAGCAAATCGATTCCACGACGCGGCTTCGGTTCTTGTTTTCGAGGGCAACGATGGTCAATCGGCGAGAAGGACTTTGGGCAATTCTGCTCGGCATGGTTTATACTAGCAATATGGATGGATCGAAGGAGTAGTAAAGATTAAAACAACACGGTAATGTTAATTAACTAGAGTTGTACCATGCATGATAATATCCAAGCCATGGTTCTAGTGTTAGGATAAATATTATTTGCACTAAGCTAGCAAATATATAGGTTACAACTCTGGAGGATGTAGCCACATTGAAGCATAGTCCCAACCCGTCGTGTAGTATCCTGTCCTCTCTAGACCATCGTCCATACTTTGGTCTTCCCTACAACACATGTGGTCACCACCTTCCAATGCCACCGTGTACACTTCGTTGCCACGCGACTCATGTTCTCTAGAGCGGGTAGATTTCGAGTAATAGATGTGGTTTCTCTCTAGACCGCGGCGTTCGGCGCCAACAGGCACGTGCACCGCTTTAGACCTTGTCGGCCCCAAGAACAAGTCATACTCACCAAAGCTCTTCACCTCAGCCCACTTGTGCCAGTAGATGCCGCCGGGGTTTGCATCGACTAGCATGAAGACCTTGAAGAAAGGCTCGCGGTCGGGCAACCATCGGGTCCTTATCGCCATCGATGGCTCCCCATGTAGCTCAACCATGCAACAACCGTATGAACTGGGGTCATGCTTCATGGTGGGGCCATTGCGCCTTCGGACGGCTAACTGGTGGGTAGATGTGATCACGGGCTTTCCTTCTCCCCTGGTGTTGAATTTAAACTTGACCAAGCCCTCGTCGGGGTAAGTGAGGCCGTAGAGATCACCGTCGCAGAAGGCAATGTCCGCGAACATCTTCTTGTGCCAAGTTGTCATGGTCCACCCACTGGCACTGCCTTTGCCAGCTTTGCACAATGCAATGTTGAGGCGATAGATCATCGGTGATGGCGGCGAGGACGCAGCCGTTAGAGGAGGTAGGGGCGTCGGAGAAGATGATTTTAGCGATGGGGTTTTGCCTTAGACGGCCCGGCTTTAGTGGGCACACCGGCATCTCGGCGCTGGAGAAGATGTTCACGAGCGTGAGCTCGCGGTTGTCGAAGGCGAAGACCCAACCGCCATCGTGCGAGCCAACGAACAGCTTGTACTCCACCTTGGTCGGGACACAGGTGCTTCCTCCCGCTGGACCGGTTGCTGCACGGCGAGACGAGCAGCAACGGGACGGCGGGCGGTGCCGGGAGCCGCGCCGTGGCGGAGCGCCACGACCTGCAGACGGCGTGGTCGTGCAGGGTGGCGATCCTAACGTGGATATTGCCGAGGAGGTCGTCGGGGGTTCGGTGGTGCCGTCGTCGGGGGCGTCTGTGTCGTCAACATTTGGTACTAGGTGTCGCGATCGATAACGAGCGATAACTAGTGGTAAAAGTTGTAGAAGTCTCTCTCGTGTTCTTGCGCAGTTGTATCTCCAGGTCTTGTGCAACGCCGAGTCTCTCTCGTGTTCGTGTGTCGTGTCGTCTCGGGCACGAACTTGGGCAAAGGCGCGCAGCAGCTGCTGGACTCTGTGGATCGCGAGTTCGCGACGCCTTCCACGTGTTCGACAGAATGCATGTATACCTGAGACACGCATGCCCATTGGTTTGGGAAGCAACGACGTCAGCGGATGAGCGAGGAAGAAGCAGCAAGGCATGCCATGTCTCGTGCGCAATGGTGTCCTGGCAGTCAGAGGTAACAAGCATGCCATGCCAGAAGATCTCGGCAGAACGGCACAACAGAGGCGGACGAGAGCTTGGCGATGCCCAAAGCCATGTTTTTTTTCTCATACAAAAATTTAAACATTTGGAATGCCGAGGCGAACAATTCGGAAATTGTATGATGAACTTTTATCAATTTACGAATAACATGTCAACTTTTACAAACATCGAACAAATTGAGCCCCTTTTCTACGAGGCATCTCACCATGGTAACTGAACTTCATTGCCTCTCCGGTATTATGCTTAATATAAAATACAGTAGTAGTTACTAAAACCTTGGCGTGATCCAAATCGGAGCTGGTAAATCTAGCCAAGAATACATGCATGGCCATGCATCCTCAAGTTTCTGCATATTCCTCTCCTTGACGTTCCAAATACCCAGGTCCTCTTTCAATCTTGGCTTACATTCAAAACGGTCATCCGTGAGGTAAGCGTGGTTTGGTTTGAACGCCGGAAAGTCCTTAGTGGAAACATACACGACATTGTTGTACCCGAGGAATAGCGCGTGGTCTCCAATATCCCGTAGCTCCACCAGCTTCTGCCTGCCAATGTCAACCTTGAAAATGAAGAGCTTCGCCGTAGTGAACTTATAATCATCTTCAAACAGCTCACTGAACTTGCCGTCGTCATATTCGTTCGCGAAATCTACACTGCCATCATCGACCATATTTTTGATTGGAACATGTGCGCAATTCCAGATCCTCCAGACTTGCTGAAGTTCACCTGATGGGGAGAATGCGAGATACTGGGTAGGGTTGCCCCAGGATGACACGCCACACATGATCATCGTCACCATCGGCAAAGGGCCATTGAGATCTATCGTGTAAATAGAACAATCACAACCTAGAGCGTAGAACAAGCCGTCCTTATCATTGTAAAGAACATCTATAAAGCCTTGGTCGCTAGGGAGCAATGTCCACTGCTTGTCACCGGGCCTAGCAAAGGAGAGCCTCCACTCGTCTGGGGTATGCACGATTACCACAGTGCATGCGTCTATCTCGGTGGCAGCGGAGATGGCAACCCGGATATACCCCGAATGCCATGCCCAGGTGACCATCGGGTTGTGGGATCTGTTCTCCAGTCGAGCCTTCAGAGCACACTTATGGTCGTGGTCATAGCGGCTCTCCCCGTGGTAGATTGTCACGAACGGTGGGAGCGCGGCCCGGGAGCCGGTAATAGGGTTGAGAAGGTACGGGTCCCCGGACTCATCGGTGGAGAACACCCAGCCGTGACAAGAGGAGACGAATCCCCGGCTCTCCTCGAGGGGCCTTTGAAAGGGGACACGGAACGTGGCGTTTGTGGAGGGACAATACAGGGCGGTATTGTTGGGCCCGTACTCGTCGCATGCATAGAACAGGCAAGGGGCCTGCTTTGGCGAGGGAAGCTGGAGGCGGCGGAAGGTCTCATAGGCGTGGTGCCAGGACGTGCAGACGGCGCCGGATCGGATAATGCTGGGGACATCCAGCTCTGCCATGACGGTCAGGAGGAGGTCCTCCGGCAGGCCAGACCAATCGGCGGTGCCATGATGGGGCGCAGTTAACCACCTCCGACGCACTTTGTTCTTGATCGCCCTGGCTAGTGCGTCGACGGTGGAGATGGACAAGGCTGCTCCCATAGCGGCTGCTGGTTGCGTCCCGCGTTGATCGGTGGTTGTGTGGCGTGCTCCATTGTACTCCTATATATGAGAGGAACCAGCAGAAAGCTAGTCCGAGTCGGACAGCAGTAACATGTACCTGTGCGCGGTATTATCACTGCGATTGAGCACGGATTGTTTCCGATCGAGTTGTCTAGGTCTCCCTATCCTACTTACTAGCTAGGTGATCCACTGTGTGATTTTTCTTTTGATAATAAATCAGGCAAGGAAGCGGCACGTAATCTTATGTGCTTTTAGCGACCCATCGCGTCTGTGCTAGTACTAGATCGATCCGGTCATGTGTTTCACCAAGTTATTATTAGATTCACCCGCAAAAAATAGTTATTATAAGATTATCTATGGCCGGTCCCCTAAAATCCTCCACAAACATGCCCAGTAAGTACCCGGACAAGAGAGAAGGAAGAAAAAAACCTAATCGGACCCCTCTATTAGTCCTATACGTTTGGTATGTCCGCAAACTCTTATATTCACATCAAATATAGAGAGGAAATGAGGGCTTGCAGTCTCACCCGGATACGCCCCATCACGTGACCACATTTTCTCTTTCTTTCTTTACTTTTTTTCTTTCTTTCTCTTCATCTGCATCAATCACATGCATGTAACCGGGCACGTAAGGGCATCTCTAATGCCAATCCTCAAAATGAACCCTGTATCCGTCCGCGGACCGGTTCAAACAAATCCACGGGCACTAATGCGGAAACAGGCTAAATTTATGGGCCAATAGCTCCTGTGCGACGTTTTTCATGTAAATTGTACGTAGTGCGATGTAGTTTACAAAAATAGCTTTCCTGCGACGTCTTTCAAGCCAACTATAGCTCCAATGCGACATGGCTCTGTTTAACCATGAAATGCAAAACACGAGGGGTTAGCGATTTGAGTTATGACACGCGGGACCCACCAGTTACTCTCATACGGGCGGGACCCACAACTTATCCACACAAGCATGCCCGTGCTCATTAGCGTGCCCCGACCCGAGCCAGCCACGAGCCCGAGCTTGCCCCTTTCCTTTCCCACCTTCTTCTTCCCCTGCGCCGACAATGAAGCGCGCTGCCGGCGAGTGATGTCTAGCTCGACTTCGACCTCCCGCCAATCATGGACGCAGTACGGTCCACTGCCGTTGACAAGATGCCCTGATTGCCCGCGCATGGAGCCTCTGAAGCGTTTGACTTGTGTGAAGGAAGAAAATGGCAACCGTGGGCGCGAGTTTGTGAAATGCTTGAGCAGGCCACAACCGGGGCAGGTTAGATTTGTGTTCTTGACCAATCGTATGGTCTAATTTCTCTTGATTTCTTTCCTTTTTCATCGAATTAGGGCAGTGGATCTAGGGTTAATGCACCGCTGGCCCCTTGTTTTTCAGGTTCTGAAGAAATGTGGGCATTTTGAGTGGCTCAGTGACTATGTTGAGAGGTTAAAATTGGAGGCATCAAC